TTTATCAACAAGTTCTTTATGACCTGTATTTTGTGCTGACCTCCTATCTCAACCTATGACTTAGAATGCCTCAACCATCTGGGAATGCAGCCCAGTATGTTTCAGCCTCATTTTACCTAGCTCCTGTTTAAGATGGAGTTGCTCTGGTTCACACGCCTCTGACATAACCACCTAACATTTGAAAAATGTGTCATATTTTATTAAAATATTGTGTTGCAGTGAAATATAGTCATTGCAAAAGGATGCAGCATCATTTACTTTCTCTGGCTTTAATGTGTTGGAACAAGCCAAGCACATCCCTTGGTGCCCACTTCTTCCTCCATCCCCTAACATGTCGTTTGCAAATGAATTGTACACCTAACATTTGCTTTGTGCAAGGAATTTTAAACCCAGGAAACAATACAGTATGTTTTATTATATTATAGCAATAGACTTCAAGTTTAATGAGCTTTGGGTCTAAATGTAGCAATTTGGAAGTCTCTTCAAGCTTATAAAATGAGATTCTACCCAAGTTTGTAAGCAGGTACAATAACACTTGGAACGTAACTGTGTCAGGTATCTGAGAGGTTTTTCTTGAGGGGATGTAGAATCAATTGGCTATGTAATACTCCTCCTTCCTTCCCAGTATTTTATTCCACGACCACTGACACTGGAACAAAATGTCCCTATTTGACAGACATTACAACATTTTGGTAATTAGCTTAAAATACAGCTGATTTGTCCTCCTGCTGCCGTCCCCTACGGCAACCAGTATCTGAAAGCTTGTTTTAAAGCCATTCAACAAGCACAAAGAACCATACCTGTTGCATCTGATTTCCTCCCCATTAAATCAGGATGAATAATTTAGTAAAAACTGCTTATGCACAGATACTGCAGTGACTGCATGGAAGGTAAGACTGTGAGGCTGCTGGCATTTTCACCACTTCTAGCTGGTTGTCAGTGGAATCTTGGCTTTTCTCTCAATGGCAGGGAGCCAAATAGCCCAGTGACCTTGGCCTTTCACCTAAGGGTCCTTAGTGCACCAGGACCTTTCCCCTGTAACAAAGCCCATTCCTTCTTTTGTAACTGTGGCGGACACTATTGGTTGGCTATTCAACTGACCTTCACAGCCCCCATCTTCCTTAAGGTTGAAATAGGCAATTACTTGTACTCTCTGCCTCCCTTGCTGCCAGGCAGTCATGTGACCCAGGTCTAAACAATGACATATAAGGTAAGGTGTGTTGAGGTGCTTCTGGGAAACCTCTTCTTCCCTAATGGAGAGGTGGTTTGGCACCGTAAGGGCTCTGGAGCTGAACTGCCAGAGTTTAAGTCCCAGTTCTATCACTTCTTGCCTGTGTCATACTGAGAAAGTTAATTCTGCTTTTTGTGCTTTGTTTTTTTAATCGGCTGCAGAATTAAAACTTACAAAGTGCTCAGGATAGCATCTGACATACAGTAAATGCTGAGAAAATGTTAGTTACTATTATAATTAATAAAAAAAAAGAAGGCATGTGATGAGCATTCTGCTTCCTGCTTTTGGAAATGGCTTTGTGAGGTTAGGATGCCTGGAGTTATGGCAACCATTTTGTGACCAAAAGGGGAACAGCAAGAGAATCACAATGACTCTGACTCAGTGTCCTTGCATTGGCAGAGATGCCAGCCCAGCCCTGGGACACCTACCTCAAGATTTTCTTAAGTAAACAAACTATAGATATAGTGGATTTTCTGTTACTAGCTGCTGAACAATCCCATCTTTTATATATATATATATATATACACACACGCACACACACACATATTATATAGAAGCAGGAAGCAGAATGCTCATCATATGCCTTCTTTCTTCTTTCATATATATATATATTTTTTTTTTTTTTTTTGAGACAAGGTCTCACTTTGTCACCCAAGATAGGGTATGGTGGCATGCTCACAGCTCACTGCAGCCTCCACCTCTGGGGCTCAGCCTCCCAAGTAACTGGGACTACAGTGTCAGCCACCATGCCCAGCTAATTTTTATTTTTTGTAGAGATGACGTCTCACTATGTTGCCCAGGCTGGTCTCAAACTCCTGGACTCGTGATCCTTCCACCTCAGCCTCCTAAAGTGCTGGGGTAATAGGCATGAGCCACTGCACTCAGCCATCTTGTCATTATTAAGCCAGGGTTTAAGCCCTGCCTTCTCTGGTTCTAGCTGCTCTGTTGACTTTGTTCACCATGTACTGCTTCCTCCTCTAGTAAAGATGAGATGTTCCCTCCTAAGAGGCTTAGACTGATTTTCTTTAATCTGCCTTGGGAGCATTCTTAAATAGACTGTGGGCCTGATAGCAGCCTCATGTATGGAAATCAGGGCTTACTGGGGGGAGGGTGTGTAATTAAGCCCTTGTCCTACTTCAACTGAGCAGGATCTAGCTCTGCAGGCCTTCCTGGCTCCCATAGGTCTGGCTGCAGTATGTAAACATCTTATGGGAGGCAGGGGTCCCAATCTGGCTGCTACTGGGATCTCTTTGAGAGAGGAGAAAGAAAGAAACTGGTCAAGAAGGGAGTTAGGGTGAGTCCTCAGTTGAATTCTTTCAAACAAAAGAACAGCCTGAAAACTCAAGCTGCAGGCACAGATAAGGGAACTTGCACAGGGTGGGGGGCTTACCTAAGACATGCCCACAGTTGCACAGATAAGAAAGGCTACACAGGTGACTTGCCCAGACATGCCCACAATGGAAAATCCTGTCCCCTAGCACATGCTCAGTAAAGGGAACAAAGCAGTATGGAGTAACTCAAGCTAAGGGCCCACATGCACACTAGAAGGACAGGGTGGAGCTACCAGAAATTCGTGCCTTATGCAAATGAGACGCCCAGCCCTCATCAGTTTCTTGTAAAAGCCTTTACATTCAGTTGTAAAAGCAGCAACGCTCTTCCGGGCTCTATCTCTGTGGCGGAGAGCTTTCTTCTTTCACTTAGGAAACTTTCACTCCAACCTCACCCTTTGTGTCCACGCTCCTTAATTCTCTTGGTTGTGAGACAAAGAACTCCGGGTGATACCTCACAATGAGAGACTGCTACATTGTTGTGCACTGGAGAGACTATAATATCTTCAACCTCCAGGTGCCATAGCACAGAGGCTCTGCTAGGAATCCAAGGCCACCATGTGTGGGTATGGAGGGGAGGATTGAGTGGCCCCTAAAAATCCCAAGTGCTTTCTTGCCAAGATCACAGCAAAGCTGCTCCACCCGTGCCCCCCAGTGCACTCATGTTTCTTCCAGCAAAGTTTGTTCTCTATGATTCTTTGTTTTCCAGATCACACCTGGGCAGACTGTTCTGAAAATGATCAATGATCATGTTCAATCAATGATCAAGAAGACAATGATCTTGTAGAATGACAGAGGAAGTAAAAATTATAAAAGTAGAAACTCTGGGACTCCCTTTTCTTTAGAAAATTGGCTTCTTGCTGGGTGCCTTACTTTTCTGTTTCTATATCCAACTTACATGATAAGCCCCTAAGGATTTCTGTCATTCTGTTCCTCACTGAAATCACTACAAAATTACAGTAAAAAATAAGGATAATGAAAAGAGGATCACTTCATAGCCTACCTGGATTCTGGAATTAAATCCAGTTCAGGTCAGGAATGAGCCATGAGATCTAGTAGTTTTTACCCATTATCAGACTTAAATCAAATTATTTTCAGTATTTCCAGTGTAGACCTGTAGATGGTTTTCTATCACATAAAATTCAAAATGACAAGGAAGTTTATCTAGAGAAATTTAGAAGAAAGAAAGGTACACTCATCTATTGTCTGAAAGTGTTTTTATTTTTTAAGCATATCAATGTATTTATTATTTAGCTAAGCACCCACATGATGTCACATGTAAGGATCAGCACATTGCCATGGGCCCCATTCTCAGAAGAGAATGGACCCTTCTGGGGTCCAAGCTGACATGAATAATTTAGGTTATTAGGGTGCTGGTTAATGAATTGTCCCAATGTTTGGGCATCCTATGTCCCTGCTAACTCCCTGGCAGGGCTTCCTTAAGAGAACAGTTTAACTCAATGTACTTAATAGATATATTTCCATGTACTATGAGATGACTCAGGGTTGGTCAGTAACCTGGGTTTTTTGAACAATCAGAAAGAAAAATGGAAGCTCGTTGGTGGCTTTTCCAGCCCACAGCGTTAGTCTTGCCTAAGCCCTCTCTGCAGCTAAACAACTCGTTTCCCCCCAGTGCTTCCTGAGTCCTTATTCCTTTTAATGAGAAGCCAGAAAAAGAGGTCAGCGCAAACGGGTGCTGAAAAGAAAAAAATCCTGGCTCTCTTTTAACCAAGAAAAGCAGAGCATTTCTGAATTCTGGCTCTGACACAGAAAAGCCCTGTCTCTAAGTCCCCCCTCATGATGATTGCCTGGGGACATGTCAGAAAAGTATTCTGGCTGATATTAACTGCCACGATCACGTATCCCGGGAGAAACACTTTCAAAGAACCCAGAGCCAGCTTTTTGGAAGCAAGTAGGCCAAGCAGTCTACTATACGTCAAGTTTAAATGAGAACATGCCTGTAAAAAGGCTTTAAGACCTGTAAAGTCTTAAGTGTGTGCCTCGTACTGTGCCCAGCCCTCGAGCACTGAATGTAGAAGACGACTCAGAAGACATGCTTCCTACCCTCCTCACTCCCTCCTAGAGCTTAGATTCTGGGAGAGAGACAGGATCATTCTATGCAAAATAATTAAACAATTAAATGTTTGACTGTGTGGCTGTAAGTAGAGTTATGTCAGGTGGCCATGAGAGACCACTGGGACTGAACTTGTCAAGAGATGGTTTGTGAAGAAGCCACAACCCCCATGGCTGGTGTCCTGTCGGGGAGATCACAAATTAGAAAGGATCAAGATGGGGCAACTTGTTTTATACACAAAGGATATCCATGTGGGTCAGGAATGCAATCAGACAACTTGTGTTGGTTTGACTCAAACTTTGTACTTAGCTCAAGATATGATTTATAGCTTCAAACACTTACCTACAAACAAAAAGACACCAACAAAACAATTTGAGTATTTAAAATAAACAGTTGAGAGCTGGTTTAACTATAGTATGTGGGTTCATAAGAACTAATATGTTTGAGGCTCTTTTCACTATGAAGATGACAAGTCAGGACTTTAGTTTTCAGGAAACAAACATTCATAGCTTTGGTCACCTGCTTGCTAGAGAAACAATAGGAGGAGGGGCTGAATTCATTCCATCCATGTCTTTCACTTTGTCTTGATTTCTAAAGTAGTGAATGAGTTTTTAAGCAGCAGTTGCTGAATTCTTCTTTGCTTTGTCCTGACATGCAGACAATCTAAGAGGAAAATCAAGTCAGGGAAGTATTTAGAGAAGAATGCTGATGCCTGCAATTTGCTTTGAAATCAATAAAAAAAGGTGAATGATTGGGTAAAGGAATGGATAGATATGTAGATATGTGACAAAGCAAGTATAGTAATATATTAATGATACATATAAGGCTGTGCATGTAAAATTAATTTCCAACTTTACTACAAAAAATGTCGTAATACTATGGTGGGAAAAAAACAAATCAGGGTTTTCTTTGTGTTACCCTTTCTTCTAATAGTTAAAAATCATTATCTGAAAGGACACATAAATAAAACAGCTTGGAATAAGTCCTAGACATAAATGAAAAGTAATAATTGTGTGTGTTATTTGTTTAAAGAACCCTCAAATCTCTCTCTACTAGCCAACTGTTGATGCTAAGTATTCTGCTATTAGAAACACAGTCTTTTGAGCTAAGGGCTTATTCTGTAAAAACCTCTTGGAATTCTTGGGAGAACTACCAGATTAAACTCAATTAGTCATTAATACTCAACTGCAAATCAATTTAAGTGATCACTTCCAAGTAATATAGAGCTAAAAGGTTTGGAATAAAGGAGAGGGAAAAGAGAACATAAGCACCAAATGTCTTAGGGGAGGAATGGGAGATGCTGAAAGACGATCTGTAGAGGCATTAAAGATCAACTCACCTTCTTTACAAGGTTACTCTGGGCCAAACTAAATCCTGATATTAGTGTTTGCTGCTTTTGAATTCTATATTTAGAATTTCTGAAACTCCAGTGAAGGTGTCCTATGGCACTTTAAGAAGGCTGTTAAACTGCCTTTCTGTAGTTCTTGCTACTTGATACTAAGGACTCAAGCCCAAATCTTACTCCACAGGGGATGCTGTGGACCATGGGCTGTTCATCTATGGTTAGGTTTAAACTTTGACTTACTTTCCTTCTATGGAGGGGAATATTTTCTTTTCTTTTCTCTCTCTCTTTTTTCTTTTTTTCTTTTTTTTTTTTTTTGAGACAGAGTCTTGCCCTGTTGCCCAGGCTAGAGAGCAATGCTGTGACCACAGTTCCCTGCAGCCTTGATTTCCCTGGCTTAAGCAATCCTGCAGCTTCAGCCTCCTGAGTAGCTGGGACTACAGGCATGTGCCACCACACCTGGTTAATTTTTTAATTTACTGTAGAGGTGGGGTCCCACTATATTGCCCAGGCTGGTCTCGATCTCCTAGGCTCCAGCAATCCTCCTGTCTTGGCCTCCCAAAGTGCTGGGATTACAGGTGTGAGCCACTGTGCCTGGCCCATATTTTCATTTTTGTACATTACTCTATTTTTCTTTCTTTAGAGACACCTTTTCCTTAGCTGGTTTCTTCAGAAAGTAGAGTCTGAGGCAAGGGTTTATGTGCCACGATTTTCTTAGGGAGCATACATTAAGGACCAGGAGGGAAGGATAAATAACGTGAGACAGAAAAGGAGATAAAACCAATACAGGTACAAGGAAGTGTATTGAACTGGCTACCACTAAGGACAGCTGATTGTTTGATATCACAGAGTTATCTTCAATGAAGCCATGTAAAAAATGTCTCAAGAATGTCTCTTTGGGTGAGAAAAGGGGAAGAATTTATCCCCTGCTCCCATATCTCATTGGTCAAAGCCTCATTCTAATGGGTCCATTCTCCTGCACGCCCAGATTGTACAGGTGTGAGGGTTGCTGTGAATTTCCACGCCTTGTTATCAAACAGAGAAATCTCAGAGTAACAGGTGAGAGCGCATGGGGTGGGATGAGGCAAAGTGCCATCTGGTTGTGCCTTCAGGAAGCTGCTTGCTGAGGTGACAGCTGGAACAAGAGACGAGTGAAGCTGAGAGGTCTAAAGTGGTGAGTGAGAACAGTCTAATGAGCCTGACCCTCATACCACACAGCCTGCTGGTGCCCTCCATTATCTGGTTCACTTGGTACATTCTGGAGCCTCTATTTTTCTGAGAACAAGATGGCCTGTTTTCCCTGAAGGAGAAGGTATGAGTATAATCTGTCACAGAGTCTCCTTCAAGATGGCGGTAGTTGAATTTCTAAAAAGGTCCAAGGCAAGAGGACTAGTGAAGCAAGATGCAGTCCCTCCATTATAGCTGATCCTAAGGCCATAATTGACATCTGCCATCCTCCACTTCTACCTCCCATTTTAGATTTCTATCACCCTTGGTCAGCACTTTGCCATTGATCTGCACTGCCTGCCCGGTAATATGATCAAGACCTACATCACCAAGAGGTCTGAGGTCTGTATTGCTTTGTCCTTGGTCTGTAATTGCGACAATTACCTATTTTCTATGGATACACCAAAACATGTCCTTGTGAATCAGGTGGATTCCAGACATAGTCTCCCTTGCTCACATTGTGCAGAGTAACCATGGCTCCTTGTGGTGTTCAGGAACTCTCTTTGTTTGCTGATCCACCACTATGAGTTCAAAGTAACCCCGTGGCAGTTGCAGTTTTAAGTGCAGCATAAACCTTACTCATCTCTGGGAACAAGCGCTTCTAAACCTGGCAAATTCAGTTTGTATGAGTGGAAAACACAAATTCCATAAGAAGGTCACTGGGAGTAATGATGACCAAAGCTATGCCTTTTCCCCAGACCCATGTATTCTAACTACTGGGGGCCATATATTAGCTGTTAATTCTACACATATATTGGATGCTCAAAGGAGAGTGCTCCAACTTCGTGGCCTATTTTCCCTGAGCTGGGGTCTTAGCTGAGCTTTCAATAGCCCATTCCACCATGCTACTAGACTGGCTGCTTCTGGATGGTGAGGTCCATGGTAGATGTTGCAGTTATGTGCCTATTGTCACAACTCTTCTGCTGTTTCTGTAACATGGATCCCCTGTTCATAGGTAATGCTGTTGAAGGCTACCATACCTATATTTATTAGGCATTGTGAAAGGCCTTAGATGATTATACCGATGGAGACACTACGGGAAGGAAAAACAAACAACCGATATGTAAAATAGGCAGCAATTCCAGTAAAGATGAATTGCTGCCCCATTAGGGGTAGAAGGAACAAAACATAACCATCTGGCCATGAAATGGCTGGCTGGTCTCACTGAAGAATGGCATCATATCAAGGAATCAATGTCAGTCTCTACTTCTGGCAGTGACAATGGGGACAGTATCAGCAGCCTTGATAAGAAGCAGCCTATACTTTTGGGCTCATGGATAGGCTCCAACCCTGCTACCTCGGTCACTCTGTTTATGAGGTCGCTGCACAAATGCTGGGGTAGTTGAATAGAGACCCTTGCTTATCTTCACCGGATCAGTCATCTGTGCCCCTGGTTGTTGAAAATCTCCTCTGTGGTGGATACTCTTTAGTAATCATTAATATTACACACAAAGATCTGCACAATTTGCCTCCAGTCCCATAGGCCGAGCAGTATGTCACTTCTCTATATCTTCTTGCTCCATCTGGGGGACCATCCTCTAAGAAACAGTATAAATTACATCTCAAGGACTGTCTGGCGTCTTGGAATGGGGGGAAAAAGAGGGGAAAATTGCTCCACCAGCTCTTGTTTCCCACTGGTCAAAAGTTTAACCCACAAGATTGTTAACTCTCTTGCATTTCTAGGTTGTTGGTCATACGTGGTCACCAAGTGGGATCCTATGTCTTTGTGTCAACTGGGAAGCCGCAGGAAGAAGGTAAAGGGTTTACAGTGCAGTTATGAGGCTAGACAGTGTTAGACCATGCAGAGCTGGTCATTGCTGTAGCAGCTGGAACAAGACAAGTGAGGCTGAGAATATCTGAAGTGAAACATAAGTGTTGGATATACCTCTCAAAAGCACACTTCCAAAGAAGTGTGACCCAACTGTCTCCAGGATATAGAAATCAATGAAGCAATTTCATTCTTAATATGGAGTTTTGCTGGCTCATAGGACTCCATCTGCATGACTCCCTCTCCACAGCCCCTCACTCTGTAGGCAATCTTGGAAGCCTCCGAGGATGTCTCGAAAGTGTTTGAGATTCCTTCTGGGCCTGTACTTTCGGTGACAATGCCTCTGTATACATCCTGTTTCCTACACTGCCAGCCTTGGTCCCTCCAGCCTGATCCCCTGCTACTGCTGGTGCTCTGCTCTAGAGGCCAGCCTTGCTAAGTGCCTTGGCCAAGAAGCTTACACCTACAAAGAAAGAAAATGGTGTTCTCTCTTGCATCATGCTATGTCAGGGGAGAGGCCTACTCCTGCAGTGGCGTTGTTTGGGCTCCACGGTGTTACAGACTTTGGTGACACAGCATTGCCAGTTTTATTTATTTATTTTTCTTCTCTCCAGGGCTAGCATACAACACAAAGATAATTGGGCCAGGGTAGATTCAAATAACAGCCTTTGTGCTGAACCAAGGGTCATTACTCCTTTTGATCCTTAAGTCCTGTTGCTAAGCCCAGCTTACTGTGCCAGAATTTTTCTTCCCCCAGGATAAATTTTCTCCTAGGAATTGCACAGCTCTTGCAATATAGTATCTGATGCATCTTTCTCCCTCTGATCTCCTCCAGTTTGCCAAAGGACTTTGTACAATTTTTTTTTTTCTTGTTCCGTCAGCCAAGCTGGAGTGCAGTGGCACAATCTCGGCTCACTGCAACCTCTGTCTCCTGGGCTCAAACAATTCTCCTGCCTCAGCCTCCCGAGTAGCTGGGATCATAGGTGTGTACCATCATGCCCGACTAATTTTTGTATTTTTAGTGAGATGAGGTTTCACCATGTTGGCCAGGCTGGTCTCGAACTCCTGACCTCGGGTAATCTGCCCACCTTGGCCTCCCAAAGTGCTGGGATTACAGGCGTGAGCCACCGCGCCCGGCCGTACAAATTCTTTACCCAGAAAGTTCCTGAGGACTCTTATAAACCAGAACTACTGAGGGATGGGGTGCTACTGAAATTGCCCCCACAGGGTTGACAACAATTGCATGCTAGGTTCTGGACAGAAATATAGTTATAATTAAGCATCAATCAGGCTGTACTGTGGCCCATTTCCAGTAAACGTCACTAGATACTGATCATTTGCATTCCCATTGTTTCTATAGATAGGATTTCTGACATTAGGGTCATAAGACTGTTTAAAAATTGATTTGCATCCCCATTGTTCCCACAGACAGGATCTCTAATATTAGACTCATAAGGCTTCTGTTGAAGGATCACTTAAGATTTTTTTCAGACATGAATTCCAGCAACCAGTTTGAAGACCCCCACAGGTTCTTATTATATTTCTGTCCAGAACCCAGCATGCAATTCTTGTCAACTCTGTGGGGGCAGTTTCAGTAGCACCCCGGCCCTTAGCAGTCCTGGTTTATGAGTCCTCAGGAACCGCCAGGAATGGGATCAGCATGAGAACACGGTTCTTCATCTCCCTGTTCCATGATGCCACTCTGCACTTTTCAACCAGTCAACGATCTCCACATTTCAGCCACTCCCAAACTCCTAAAAACCTGAACCCCAAATTCATTGGGGAGATGGATTTTGAGGCTTTCTACCATCTCTTCATTCAGTGACCCTACAATTAAACCTCTTTCTCTGCTGCAACTGGGTGTCTCTGCTTATTGACTTACCATGTACACCAGTCAATGACTCTTTTATGGACACACTACTGCCTTAATTCTAACTCTTTTATGGACACACTACTGCCTTAATTCCTCCCACTAATCATACCTGACCCTCAGCTCTGGCCCAACCCTAGAGCTTCCTAATTCTTAGGAAAGGAGAACAGATGTTCTTATACACACACACTCTCTCACTAGCAGGTTAGTAACTTAAAGGTTGAAATTGGAAGTCATGCTTTAAGAACTTCTATTAAATGTTTACAAAACTTTTGTATTTGCACAGCATCCTTTCCCACTGTTCCCATTTTGATAATCACTCCCTCATTGGTTTTTGGTACCACTCAAGTTAAAATATTTGGGTCTTTGTGATACACAGAGACCAGGGAAGCGGAGAAAGGTCTACGGGAAAATGTGCAATGGACATCCTCCATGCCCAGGTGCCAGTCATCATCCACCATCACCACCTCATAGGAGATGGAACCCAACAGATGGTCCCAACACAAAGGAGATGCTTTTTGTCCCCTGCAAAGTTATCATGGATCTCAGGCCCTGTCTTTTTAGACTTTAGGTGGGAACTTCCCCTTTGCATTTCTGTTGTCCCCTGGAAAAAGGAAATGGAATTTTATGTCAGCCATGATTCAAGTTAGTCAATACAAACCTGGCTGACACACTATTGAAGAAAGCATTTTATATGATGCTGCAGGTAGGTGTGCCCTGGAATTTTAGCTGCCTTCAGCTAAAATACTCATGTAAATGCTCACTTCAAAATGTATGTGCAGGTCAGATCCTGGGACAGATGCCAAGATGCTGCTAATATTGTTTTATTAGGCCATTATTCTGTGGTGGTTTCTTAAATGCAGTGGTCTTATTGCCATCTTCCTTTCAACAGCACTGGGCACACAGTTGGTATTAAACATGCTTATTAAAGAACTGAATGAAAGAAGTAGTGGTAGCAATCATCTCTTAAATTAGATGCCATGATCTGGGGATCTTTTCATTTTTTTAATGATAAATTTTCATTGTAGAAAACTTTGGAAAGAGAATTGGTATAGAACCCATTTGAATATTGTATAGACATTGATAAACATGGACTAACACACAGTCACAATTCCAATGTACAAAGATAGGGAAAGAATACGGCTATGTCTTATTTATCATTTCATTTGGATGTACTTCTATGCTTTCATAACTTACAATATTAGAGCTGGAGGAGATTTGCCAGATACGAAAACTGAGGTCCAAAGAAATGAAGTGACTTGCTCAAGGTCACACATTAGTTAGTAGCAGATTCTGGACCACAATTCAGATGTCTAAATGCCTACTGGCATTTTCCCTTCTACTGCTTGCTCATAATGAGGCTTTCTCCTTAGCTGTATTTTTGCTACCATGTCACATGAATGTCTCCCCCTTTAATTTTGAAGTCCACTGTGCCAGAGGCGAGCCGGTCTCATTCCTTGAGAAAGGCTGCTGAAAGCAGTTTTTATTTCACCTTATACCACCAGATTTTAGTCATTCTCTGGCTTAATAACATCTCTGATGAATTGGTGGAAACACTGCTGTCTGAAATATTTCTGACACAGCTCTTCATTTCACAAACTATGCTAATTTTAAGAGGGGCAACATTATTGTGGAAACAATTTGGTTAGAAATGCCATGAGTTTCCCTTCTCTTCTTCTTACTTTCTTATTTTTTTTCTCTCTCTCTCTCTCATCACACACATACAAACACACACACCTCAATTATTTCCTGCCTTCAAAGGTCTAAAAAGGAGCCTGGAAAATTATCCATGTTGTTCCCCTTAGACCTGACCATACCTGTACCTCTCAGATACGAGCAAATTTGGCTGTTTGTACAGAGAAATCCTCCCTCAGAAGTGCCTTCGGCTTCTAATAACTCTCACTAGGAGTGAGGCCCGCGTGAGTGCACAGCACACACAGGCACAGCGTGGCCAGCCAAGGCAACCAGAGCGGCCCCCCAGCCACCACCACTGGAAGCCCACTGAAGGCAGTGCAGATGAAGAGGGGTAAAAAGCCAACCCACAGCTACATTTTCTACACACACAATGCCGGGCTCTATCAGGAAGTGTTTCCTGGGAGACATGACTGAACAGTCACACCTTTCTAAATGGACACACCCCAGGTGTGGTTCAGAGCTTGTTTCTGGTGAAAGATTCTTCGAATTTGTCATACCATCTTCTTATCAAGAAATCTTTCCTATTCTAACCTCTCACAGGAAAGTCCATTGCTATCACTTCTCACTGACCACTGTGAATATGCAGGAGAGGTGGTGACTACCTCTGAGTCACTGTTCACTGTTAGCTTCCTCCAGGGCAATCATCTTCCCAAGAAAGGCACATCTATCCTCTTTCTATGATCTAGCAGCTGCTGATGTGAAATCTATTGAATAGACCTTTATTGAGAGCATCTGTGTGCTGAACTCTTGGTAGATGAAGATAAATAATGTGAACCCTGCATCTGAGAAACTTATGATGAAGTAGAAAAGATGATATCATTAATGATGATGGTAATAATGATTAGAAGATGCCAGGCCTTTTACTAATTCATTTTAATTCCCACATCCACCCTGTTAAATATAATTATTTGTAAGGAAGCTGAGGCTCAGAGAGGTTATGTGACTTGCCTAAGGACACACAGCTAATTAGTGACAAAGCCATACTACCTTTCTCCAAAGACCATGGTGCCAACCACTGTGAAAAAGCAGACAATTTCAGCAGGTGGTAAGAACTGTAGAGGAGTATGTACAAGGCACCTCGGGAGCACAGAGAGGCCATCTCACAGTCTGGGGAGTTAGAAAAGGCTTCCTGGAGGAGATGTTCTCTGAGTGGCCTCAGGCCCCAAATCCCTAGTCCAAGGGCAGAGGGACTCATGCAGTCACAAAGGGTGGTCATCACCTCTACCTCCACGAAGCCCACTGAGTCTCCACCCACATTTTCCTCCTCCACATCTTGGCTGGACATGACCCGCCCAAATCACTGTTGGTCCTGGTACCAGACTCTTCTTCAGAGGGATTTACCCTTCTTATTCTTCTGCACCTGTGCACCCCCAACTCGAGTGACTCGATTTCTGTCTAGTCTAAAGCAAGCAAGAGAATTGGCTGCTTTGGCTGCTGCCTCCCTTTCACCATTGAGTGAACCCGAGTGGCAGGGGAGGAGAATCAATGCATTGAATCCGAATATATCTGGGATGGAGTGACTCCATTACAAACGCATTGTGTCATACTTGAACAATATAAGGATTCTTTCCTTCTCTCTGAGAGCCCACAGCTGCAATATTTCTATGCTGCTTTGCAGACTGTTATCACAGTTTTAATGAAGTGTAGTTGGTTTGAAGTAAAGTCTGTCAGTTCTCATGAAAAGAATTAAATTTTGGTCTTGCACTGCATATTCAGCTTAAAACAGGACTCAGGGCTCATTATTCAGCAAACAGTAATTTGTTTTCATCCCCAAAATATTAATTGTGCTGCTGCATTTTCACCTGATGGGACGATGAGCTCATTATTGAGAAGGGTTTGCCCATAGGAAACGATTGATTACAATTATCTAGAAACCAATTGCTCAGAAAGAATTTGAAAGGGTCAGACACTGCAATGCCTAAGGGGCCCTCAGCTGGAAAAAGAAAACTAATTACCATTCACAATCTAGTGACATCCAAGGCAAACCAGTATAACCATTAGGATGTCTGTAATATTTGTAAAAGTTCTCTGGGGGCACTTTGTTTTGTAGCAATAATCAGTGACTATGAACATAGGGCCAGAGAATAAAACAAGGTTGTTTAGGACTACCCTTAATCTTCAATTAAGCCTATATGTCAAATGGGTAAAACTATCTCTCTTCTGGCTTACAGGTTGCCAATGACTTTAATCTCAGGGGTCTGCACATAAACAGCTGCTCAATAAATAATGATAAAACAGCTGAATGAATAAACAAATCTGAAGGCCTGTTCTGGCTGTCCTGGCTTTCCCAGAAGTGATTTTCAACCAGA